ATATATTTAATAAGAGTTCTCCTGAGAAGCAGGAAAGTCAGACTTTGGGAATAGCTATTAATGAGAGGAGGTGCCAGAAATTTCAATAGAGGGTTTTCCTTTTGGTTCTTCATGTTTTTATAGATAGAAATAGATTAGGGACATTAAGTGACTGACTTCCCAGTGTTACAAAGTAATGTAGTAGCAACCCAAACCAGAACCTGTCCTCTTCACATATCCTAGGTTATTCAGCTTAATATTCAAGGACAACCTGTTTCTATGTAAAGAGACTTAAAACTCAGATATTCTAAACTGGCTAAGAGGAAAAAAAATTAAATTACAAGTACATAGAAAATTTTGATGTATGTGTATTTTTTCTGAATATATTCCCATTTCCCACATAAATAGCTCTTATTTCTAAATTATTATGGTTAAATATTAGCTTATAGAATATGTTTCAGCATATTCAGCTTTTGGATAAGAATATGGCAAAATGCATCATTTAAATTCTAGCAAAGATAATCATACCATGTTTATAAAACTTGTTTAATGTGGAGTTCAGATTTTTTTCAGTTTGAATAGGAATAGGGATCTATAGAGTATTTTAGGTATAGATTACAGTTTTAAATGCTTGATTATTTTATAAGCATTTTTTGTTTTTTAGATGATAAAGCCCCAGTGACCGATACGAACATTCCATCCCATCTGGAACAGATGTTAGATATACTGGTTCAAGAAGAAAATGAACGGGAATCTGGAGAGACAGGGCCGTGTATGGAATATTTGCTCCATCACAAGATCTTGGAAACGTTATACACCTTAGGGAAAGCTGATGTAAGTTCAAATCATGTTCTTGGTCATGTAATACATGTATTAATGTCTTAGTGATAAATAAGCTGCCAAGTACTCAGTTTAATCACAGAGATGTATTGAACATGGCAAGATTCAAGTTAAGTTTGTGGAAAAAAGAAAATTGTGTGGCCTGTATGAAGAGGACATCTGTAGAGATAGCAAAGCTCCCAAATGCTCCAGACAACAATGGGTATTTGGGCAACTTAGAATTCCAGTGTAAACATTTATGACTATCAACTCAAGTACATGTGGTCAGAATTTAAAAGAAAAAAAAAAGGGAAAGAAACCAATGAAACTTGTGTCCAAAAATAGGAATTATTTTTCATAGTCTTAGAAGAAAATGTCGCTGATTATTCTGACATTAACTGCTGAGTGGAGCCAATTCAAACTTTTAGGTCTGGTGAATATTGAAAAATCTTTACAAAGCTCATATTATAATATAAATAATATTTTGTGCCACAGAACTTTCAGATTACTTATGAAGACAGGTTTTCACACCATGTGGTGTTGTGAGGGATGAGAAAGAGCCTTGGGTTCAGGCTAGGATGCTAGGCGCCCAGTCCCCACTTTGTCACTAACACACTGTGACCTTCAACTCTCTCTCTGGTAGACTTCCTCCTCTTTAAAATCCAGAAAGTGATTGCTAAGAGTTCTCCTGCAGCTCTGAAATTCTGTGATTCTGGTCTGTGAATTTCTATAATATATGTGAAAAATCAAACTAAAACACAAAACTAATAGACACATTTTAATACCAAATAGAGTTATGAATAGTAGTATTAAAGATAGTTTTCTTCTAACTAAGTTTTTAATACTCCAATTCACTTTTAAGTTAAATTCATTCACTTTATATTTGCTCTCTAATATCCTGTAATTCACTCTCCTCCTCCCTTCTTTTCCTGTCTTTTGAAGAGGGATTGTATAACACTAAGTTGATTAATTGATTTTTTGAGTACAAGTTAGTAATTGTACTTCTAGTAAATTTATTTGGTAAGGTGATTGTAAATATAATTTGTGATTTATATGAATAATGCAAATCTGAATATTTACTATCTTAAAAGGTATTATTAGGCATAAGATTATATGTTATACTATTTCCAAATAGCATGTCTATGATGAAGCTGGAAATATTTATTTTGTAACTGTAATTAAATGAAGCAGTATAAGCAACTTAATTATAGAACCTATAACCTTGTTAATTCCTATTCTTCTAATGAGTGCTCATCAGGCTTACTTTTTAGCAAATACTTAAAACAACTGGCATGACATAAAAACTTCTTTATTAAATAATCTTTGCCTGTAATAATCATAATGTAGATAATTTTGCAACTTCACTTGACACTTGAAGAATATAGGTTTGAACTGCATGGGTCCACTTAATACTCAGATTTTTTTCAACTAAATATAGATTGAAAATAGAGTATTCCTAGGATACAAAACCTGTGTATGCAGATAGCTGACTTTTTGCATATGCTAGTTCAGCAGGGCCAACTGCAGGAATTGACTGTGGATTTGGGTATATGTTGGATACCGGAACCAATCCCCCATGTATACCGAAGGATGACTGTTATTTATCTATCTATCTATCTAATCTGTTTATTTATTGAATCAGGGTCTCACCGAAGGATGACTGTTATTGATTGATTGATTGATTGAATCAGAGTCTTACTCTGTTACCCAGACTGGAGTGCAGTGGTATGCTCATAGCCACTGTAACCTTGACCTGCTGGGCTCAGGTGATCCTTCCACCTCAGCCTTCCAAATAGTTGAAACTACAGATGCACACCATCATGCCTGGCTAATTTTTTTGATTTATTATTGAGACTGGGTCTCACCATGTTGCCCAGGCTGGTCTTGAGCCTCTGGGCTCAGGCAATCCTCTCGCCTCCGCCTCCCAAAGTGCTGGGATTACAGGCATGAACTGCTGCGCCCAGCGATGACTAATTTAAAGGAGTATTGTTAGAATAATTCACAACAGTTTATATGATGTTTCCTTTTATATATATGTATGTGTTAGGAGGCTTTATTTAGTTTTATTTATATATATGCTGGAAAGTTATTGATTACCTATATTAGTAAGTAACAGGAGCCTACCATTGAGAGTTAATTATAGTTCATGTTACTCCAGCATTTAGGATACAAACAGGTTGACATTGCCTGAATCAAACTCTAACCTCAAGAACACACTATCATCATGCTCTTGGTAATTACATAAACCTGTGGTCTCATATGCTGTATTATGATCTCTGATGTATAATTTTATTTCTAGAATACCAGTTATTAATATCTGAAAATTTTGTTCTGACAAAGTCATTAGCTGACCAATTGCATTATCTTTTGAAGATGCATTCTCATACATTGTCTCTTCTTTTTTGTAAGCTTTTGAGTAAATGTGTATCTTCTGTTCTTGTTGGCTTTCCTTTTTTCCCATACCCAGTGTCCTCCAGGAATGAAACAGCAGGTTTTAATATTCTATACTAAACTTCTGGGAAGAATCCGGCAGCCTCTACTTCCACACATTAATGTGCACAGGCCAGTGCAGGTATTTTGTTCCCCTTACATATAATTACTTGGTTTGATTTCTTTTAGTATCAAAATAATTTTATATGATTTTTCTTAGAGTAAAAATAATAAAGGAAATTATTGTGAAATTAACATGCAAATTAGCAAATACTTGAGCTTTCCTTAAGACATTGCATTAAGTGCACTTCATGTCTGGTTCTTTTTAACATTTTATATATTAATTTTTCTTTAATTTTACCTCCTTGACTTTGGAAGTAGAGTTTATTATATGCCTTATTATTTTTTCAAAATAATTAACTTGAAAAATTTACTACTGGTAAATTTATTTTAATATGGGTGATTGTAAATATCGTTAGTGTTCTATCTGATTAATGCAGGGTATTTGCATTGTTTGAAAACTATAAATATCCTTAAGATAAATGAATGGTTACTTATATACAAGTAACTACGTTTAAAAAGTTTTAAAAAATATTTTGACAGAAATTAATTCGACTCTGTGGTGAAGTCCTTGCAACACCAACGGAAAATGAAGAGATTCAGTTTCTCTGTATTGTGTGTGCAAAGCTGAAACAGGATCCCTACTTGGTTAATTTTTTTCTGGAGGTATGGTACACTTCTTGTCAACCTTCAAAGTATACTTCTATTAAGATCATTATGCAAATTGAGGTATTACATTATGTGGGTTATCAGCTTGTTTTACTTCCCAGAATTATTTTTCATTTAAGGTCACTGTTTTATTCTCACTTGAAATCTCCTGGGAAGAAAGATTTTCAAAAAATGCGGTTGAGCCAGATATATGGGGCAGTAGGGGATAGAGAGATACAAAGCCAAGGCTTAGAAAGAATGCTGCTTGAAGGATGAATGAGATAGAGGAGAAACAGGAGTTTAAAAGTTATCATACTTTCAACCAAGCTTGCTTTAATGTGTAGCATGGATCATCTGGCCTGGGGTAAGGGTGGCTTGGGCAGACTTGGACAAGATGGAGAAAAGCACACATTAACCTCTGCAACCTCCTGTAGCAGTTGGGATTGCTTTAGCATTTTGTGCTCTTTCTTTGTGCTGAATCATAGCTTACTTAAGTCAATTGATATTTTGGATATTTTAAAGTAGAAAATAATTTTTGTGTACTTCCTGGTTTCATTCATTTTTATTCAGCAGTGAAGTGATTTAGGAATATTTTAGTATTTTAGAAAAGATAATTCTGTCGTTTTTTGTTTCTTAAAAAATACTTTTCTTTTTTTTCTTTTTTTTAGATTAAGGTATAAATTACATACAATATAATTCACTCTTTTTGGTCCATAGTTCTATGAGTTTGGCAGACATAGCTGTGTAACCTACACCACAATCAAGAGACTCACCAGCTCCATCACACTGCCCCATGTCCCTTTGTCCTCATCCTTTCTTCATTCCTACACTCTAGCAATCACTGATCTGTTTTCTGTCTAAATCGTTTTCTCTTTGACAAGAAGTTGTATAAATATAAACAACCTTTTAACTTAACTGAATGCATTTGAGATTCAGCCATGATTTTGTTCCATTATATTGTTCAGTATATCATTTTGTGGATCTGTCACAGTTGTTTATTCATTCACCAGTGAGAGACTTTTGGATTGTTTCTAGTGTTTTCTGTTTATGAGTAAAGCCATGATGAATATTCACACACAAATTTTTGTGTGAATTTAGATTTTCATTTCACTTGGATAAATACCTAGGGTAGTATTACTGGATTGTGTGGTACGTGTATATTCATTGTTACAAGAAACTGCCAAACTGTATTCTAAGTAGTTTTATCATTTTGCATCCCATCAACAGAGTGTGCGAGCTCCTGTTGTTCCATGTCCTTGTCAGCACTGGGTGTTGTCAGGTTTTTGTTTTGTTTAAATGTCAGCCATTCTACTATGGGTTTTTTTTCTATTCCACATTACTGACTAAGTAAATTAGGATTCTATTCTGCAATCTCACTGGAATTAGGTAAGCAGCTAAAATGCAAAGTTTCATGAATTTAAATTTCTAGGTAGTATTAAGGACTACAAGTGCCTATTTTTTATGATGTGCACTTTGGGTCATATTTTGCAAGTGTGCTTCATGGCTGGAATGGTCTTATAATTTTGGATTCCTAAAGATTTGTTAATGAGGGTGGTTCTTTTGGGTTTTAGTTTTAATGAGTGCAATTCTTTTAGTTTTTGATACATGAAATACCTCAGTTTGACTAACTGAGATTTTTCTTCTCAAAGTTTGTTTTTGCTAAAGTTTTCTTAGATACCTAGTGTTCTTTGGATGCATAGATTTTTTTTCCCTCCAAACTTAAGTCTGGAGGATTTCTTTCTCAAAATCTCTGAAGCTTGTTTTCCAAGTACATAGCCATAGATCAGAATCAGACAAAATATGTCAGTGGTGAGATGCACTTCAGAGAAAAACATTTACATTTAAACCTCACTACAAAGAGCACCTTTCAGAATTAGTGACATGTTTGTCTTATGCAGTGTTTTATAACACATATTTCTCCAAAGCTTGAGGTGGTAGGTGTTTCTATTTTCTGAGCTGATACAACTATTCACATGTTTTTTTTTTTTGATTTGGAGTCTCACTCTTCACCCAGACTGGAGTGCAGTGGCCGCTCCCGGCCACCGCAGCCTCGACCTGCTGTGCTCCGGCGATCCTTTCGCCTCAGCCTTCCAAGTAGCCGGAATTACAGGCATGCGCTACCATGCCCGGCTGATTTTTTTATTTATTGTAGAGATGAGGTCTCCCTGCCCAGGCGGGTCTCGAACCCGTGGCCTCAGGCAATCCACTCACCTCAGCCTCCCAAAGGCGCGGGATTACAGGTTGAGCCACCAAGCCCGGCTTATTCACAAGTTTTTAAGGGAGGTCCTAGAACTAGAATTATTTATGTGCATTTTATTTTCTCCTGCTAGTCAATAAGTCCTTGAGGACAAGGATTCTGTCTCATGAATCTTTGGGTTCCCACAGCTTCTCTAGTTTCTAGCACAGTGCATAGTAACTGCTTAATTAACAATTACTAAATGAATGGATCTTTAGAGAAATACAGTGTTGTTACTTGTAAGTATAGTTAACAACAAAACTACTTTGCAGTGTTCTAGCATGTATCCTCTGAAATAGAATCTCTCTGTTCATTAATATCCGCCAATATTTGCATCTACTATGGATTAAATATATGTGGTAGATGAATTATAGATAGTCTTTGCCCTAAAGGAGTTTGTAGTCTGGTGAAGACAGTAGATGACTGTTCAGATACTGTAAACTAACGTAGAATAAGGTGAGAATCAAGATACAAAGTGAATGCCTTAAGTGTTCTTAGGATTAAGAGAGCAATCTACTCTAGGTCATCAGGAAAGTCTTCCTGGGAGAGGACACCTTTGAAATGAGTCTTGACAGATATTTAGATAAGAATGGGTGAACATAAGGAATGAAGATATGAAAGTTTGTGTTCAGGAAACAGTATAACTAGAGATGGAAATGTGAAACAGACTATAAGTTGTCAAAGGCTTTGAATGACAGGATGAAGCGTCTGTTCTCGTAGACGTGGGGAGCCATTGATGATTTTGAGCAGGAATGCTATTACATGCTGGTATTGGTGCCTGAAGTTAAATAGGCAGCAGCATTTCATACAGCAGATTTCTTTTGGAGGAGAGAAGAAGTGAAAGAAACTAATTTGGAAGCTGATGGAGTAACACAGACGAGAAGTAACAAGGACTATAAGTTGGAAGCAGAGGGTTAGAATGAAGTGTATATATTCAGGAGACCAGAGGTAGGCTCTTGTGGGGTCTTGTAAATGCCCAGGTGCAGGAAGCAGGGAAAGGATGATTTGGATTCTTAATTCCTGAACCAATAAGACTCTGCTAGTGGAAAGACAGGAACCCCGAGAGAGTATTTTGAAGGAAAGATAATTTGGTTCTGGATGTTTTGAGTTGTCATGATATCCTGATGGAGATAATTAGCAGGCATTTGGTATTACAAATCTGTGATTTGGGAGGGAAGTCTGGGTTTAAGGGATTTGGGAGTTATGAGCATGTATATGTTGTAGGTACAAATGAGATCCCTAAAATAGAAAGGGAACAGTTTTATTAGAAACCAAAGTGCAAGAATTAATGCAGCAGCTTCTCATCAGCTAGGGAGCTTTTCTAAAATGCAGATTCCTTGGCTCTACCTTCAGAAATTCAGCAGTTCTGGATGGGACCCTGGTATCTGCATTTTTATCAAGCTCCACAGAAGACCAGGATGCCAAAAATCTTGACTCAGACTTTGAGAAACACTGTTTTAAGGAGTGATTGCCATCTAAGATTATTTTTTCCTCTCACAATTCTTATTTGAGACACCTCTCAAATACTCAATTTTACTAGTATTTTAGATGAAGTACAATGTTTTCCTTTAATAAAGACTATGCTGTGTAATTGATTCTGTTAGAAATTGGCAAATTGGAGTATTCATTGAGTTCCACAGTTTTTCCTTTTAATGTATCTTGCTTTCCATTTGAACATAAGTACAAAAATCAAATTACACACACAAGTTAAATTCATCATAAATTAGCTTCTTCACAGGGCCTATCAGCATTTCAATCATCATAGAAGCACATTAAAGGCTGAATGAATTCAAGATTCTACTTCCAAAATTATACTAATTATAAATAACTTGCACGATTGTTAAAAGTATAGTTTAGACCAATAGTCTTGAGAAATTGAGTTTTTTTCTTTTAATATATTTTTGTACTTATGTTCAAATGGAAAGCAAGATTTTTGTACTAATGTTCAAATGGAAAGCAAGATACTTTTGCCTTGAAACTGATAATTGCTTCAGCTAAGATTCACTTCATGCTTATGTGTTTATATGAGGAGTGGGAGAGCCTAGCATTTCAAGAATCTCTTCTTATCCCAAAGACACTAATAAAAATGTCCTCAGAGTAGTTTCTTGTGTTCTTAATAGAAGTATAAGGAAAAAACTTTTTAAAAGTTCTTAAATATTTAAGAGAATTTGGGAACTTTTGTGGAAACTTTAAGTCTAATTCTGGTAACTTTTGAACTTTAATATATTTTTATTTATAAGTTTGCATTTTCCCCCATGATCTTCCCAGTGATGAGGGAAAAAAAAACTACCATTGAAACCTCCTGAAACTTTTTTCTTGCTAATATTAGTTGTTTTTAGTAGTGGTCACATGGTTGTCACTAATATTGTTCATTGCTTATGGTCAGTGTAAAACATTTTGTAGACAGTATGAAGAGTATCATAAACATTTATGCAATTGTAAAATCATTCTAAAACACAGTTTGTTAAAAGTCTGAGTATTTTCATTTGACAACATTTATTGCTACTTTGGTTAGGCATATGGAATGTTAGTTATAGAAAAATCTATTAAAGTATGATTTATAGGTTTCAGGGTTCTTGATGTGAATCTTACAAAACTTGTTTTCTTTTTTAGAATAAGTTGAAATCATTGGCTTCCAAAGGAGTACCAAATGTAATTTCAGAAGACACATTAAAAGGTCAAGATTCCTTGTCAACCGATACAGGACAGTCCCTTCTGCCAGAAGAACTATCTGGTGCTACTGGAATGGAGCAAACAGAATTAGAAGATGAGCCTTCTCATCAGATAGATGATCTCTCCACAAGCTTGGATAACCTCAGTGTCACTTCACTGCAAGAGGCCTCAGTTGTTCGTCCAAACCAGGATTACAATTTAGTGAATTCCTTGTTGAATCTTACTAGAAGTCCTGTGAGTTGTTGTTTTTATTTTCCCTAACATGATCTCAATAATATGCATTTAAAGTAGGAAAAAAATCTATTTTTTTTTTTGAGTCAGAGTCTCACTCTGTCGCCCAGACTGGAGCGCAGTGGCCGCTCCTGGCCACTGCAGCCTTGAGCCCCTGGGCTCCGGCGATCCTTCTGCCTCAGCCTTCCAAGTAGCTGGAACTCCAGGCACGCGCTACCTCACCCGGCTAATTTTTTGATTTATTGTAGAGATGAGATCTCACCAAGTTGCCCAGGCGGGTCTCGAACCCACGGGCTCGGGCAATCCATTCACCTCAGCCTCCCAAGGCGCAGGATTACAGGCTGAGCCACCAAGCCCGGCTAAATCTTTTTTTTTTTTAGTGTAAAACATTAAATCCTTTTTTTGTTGAATTATTTCAAACAACCTGATGTGTATATCATTCAAGAATTTAAGAGTTATTTTTTCCCCCTTAGGATGGCCGAATAGCTGTGAAAGCATGTGAGGGCTTGATGTTGTTAGTCAGTTTGCCAGAGCCTGCGGCTGCAAAGTCCCTTACACAGAGCACTTGCTTGTGTGAACTACTGACAGACAGACTTGCCTCCTTGTACAAGGCCCTACCTCAGTCAGTGGATCCATTAGATATTGAAACTGTGGAAGCAATTAACTGGGGGTAAGCACCATTATTTGTATTTTCCTGTAAAGGTGACTTCTTACACCTACATTTAAAAAATTTGTTCTGTTTTGCAATGATAGAAATCTTTCATTTTGAAATTTGTAACAGTACTAGTGATCATTAAATGAGAATATGTTCTTAAGGCTTGTATTAAATTAATCAGTGGATTGGTATGGGAACAATCCAGCTGTTAAATAGTTAAGCTATTTAACAAGATACTTTTATTTTGTCCATTATACTATTAAGTTTTGTGTTTTTATTTTTTTGAGTTGGAGTCTCACTCTGGTTGCCCAGGCTGGAGTGCAGTGACACGCTCACGGCTACTGCAGCCTCGACCTGCTGGGCTTCGTCGATCCTTCCACCTCAGCCTTCCAAGTAGCCAGAACTATAGACCCAAGCCATCAAATCTGGCTAGTTTGTGTGTGTGTGTGTGTGTGTGTGTGTGTGTGTGTGTGTGTGTGTGTGTGTGATCGTACTTAGTTTGGACTCTAAGGAGCCTGTGTAATGTATTTCAGAAGACTTGCACACCCCCACATCATTCCGGATTAATAACCATACAAACAAGGAATAATGTACTCCACTCCAGGGAAGCCTCAGTGATAACATCAATCTGACCTTTGCTTAACACTTACTGCTTACTTCTCACATATTCTCCACAACAAATTTCCTATCCCAGAGGCAGTTCATTGGAGAATCTCTATCACATGCTCATTCATCCATAGAAGGAGAAATTCAGTGATTACAGGATCATAGATAAGGTGAAAAATGATAACATCCCACTATGAAATGAAGCGGTGATGTAAAGGGGCCTGGCCACTCCAGTTATCATTTACTCCATTGCAATTAAAAAGGCTTTTTGTCATTTCTTCGCTGGTCAATAAGGCCAACTATCTAAAACCCTTGCCTAGAATTCAGACACATACCAGAGCAGGGCCCTTCAGGCCAACTCTGATGATCACTTTTGACAAATGTTCTGCTTGAGCATAATGTAGTTACTCCAATGTTTTAGAAATGACTACACTTACAGTATTACAATCTTTACATAGTGAAAACCAAAACACATCCTTGTCCCCCCCTCTACACCCAACCACACACCCTCTCTCTGCACAGTCTGGTTTCCTTTTTTTTTTTTAAACAGATAATAATTTATTGTATAAAATTAAGGCCTTCATATTTCATAATTCACTATAGGTAAAGAAATGCTATATAATGTATGTCCTTCATGAAAATTTCGCTTTCACTCCCCTCTACCTCCGACTATTACAATGACCTGACCGAATGTTATCAAAACA